CTTGGTAGCTCACAAACCTGCCTGAACATTTACTTTCTTTGTGCCTTTGCCCATGCCCGAGCAAAAAAAGCTCCCGTGCTCTCCCATGTAACATGGTACTGATGTGGGAAACAAAGGCAAAAGAAAAATTAGATTTCCTTACTACCTACAGCCCACTGACAAGTCCTTGAAACAGGCAGAGTGACGTTTCTCTAGGAACTCAGCTGCCTCCATGTTAATACTTTGCTAAGGGCAAAAGGCAATCTTAGCCCAACCCCCAGGATCCTATAAGTCTACTTTAACATCTAAAACTTCCTTTATCTCTAACCCCCAAGATATATGGTGGCAGTCATCCCCCAAGCAAATGACCCACCGATATATATCTGAAGGGTCTCGTGACTAGGGTTTTACTTGACAGTAATAAATGACCTCTTCTTAACAATAGCGAGCCCCCTCAAGGTCCTGGAAACCTTGCTTCCAAAATTCCTTAGAGACTTAAGTTATTCCTAATCCCCTCTCAACTTGAAAGTGTGTAATGGGCCTCTCCTCATGACCCCTGGGCAGCTCTTTCTGCCCAGGGGCCTGTCCCCAAGCTTCAGTAAAATCACATTTTTGCACCAAAGAATTCTCAAGAATTCTTTGTTAGCCAGCCCAAACCCTAACATCTTTCCTACATCAGTACTTACACTTAAAACCCAGTTCCAATCCTACTTCCTCCTGAGGATTTCCCTGGGGCACTGACTAAACTCAGTACTCTCTCTCTTAGTCATCTAGTACTGGTTAGCTCTCCTACTAGTCAGTGATAGTTTGTTGTTTGGGAATATTTTAATTTACTATGTAATAGTATTTATAGTTATTTTCCATGTGCATATGTGACTTACCCATTTCAAGTGCAAACTCATTGAAATTTAAAATTATAACAATTGACCCCAATGCTCAGCAAGGCAGCTTGCGTAGGGTAGACAGACTGTGGTTCCCAGCTGGTGAGAGATATGTAGGTGCAGTGCGTTTTCTCTGGGCCCAGAGTTCAATCTGCAAGACTCAGGGGGCCTATAGGGTTCAATTCTGTTAAGATCACATGCCTTAATTTCTACATTTGCTTTCTCTTCGCCCATCAACAAGTCCCAGAAAGCCCAGGAAGACTGTAGGTATGGGGAAGGAGAAAAACCTTGAAAAATCTTCCAACATCAGGTGCTCCTTCGGCTGGTGCTATGGGGGTGCGATGGGAAGAGGAGAGAAAAGAAGAGAAAGACAGACAAGAGGCATCACTAAAAAGGAATGGGAGCATGCCTCCTTCATAATGTTGCCAAGCCTTCTTGATTTAGTGGCATAAAAGAAGTATTTAATGACAAAACTTAATGTTTATTTAGCAGCACAGTCGTGGCAGACAGAATAATGACCCCTCAAAGACGTCCAGGTCCTCATCTCTGGGACCTGTGCATATGTAATTTTCAATGGCACAACAGACTTTGCAGATGGGATTAAGATAAGGGTCTTAAAATGGGGGAGATGATCCTGGATTATCCAGTTGACTGCAACGTAATCCCAAGAGTTTTTGCAAGTGAAACAGGGAGAGCTGGAATCAGAGTTGGAGAGAGATATGTTGTTGGTTTTGAAGATGGAGAAAGGGGCCAAGAACCAAGAAATGCAGGCAGCCTCTAGAAAAGATGGAAAAGACAAGAGAACAGATTCACAGGAACAGGGCCTGCCGATGTATTGAATTTAGGTCCATGAGTGCCATATCAGACTTCTAACCCACGGAATTGTAGGATAATAAATGCGTATTTTTTTTAAGCAACCAAGTTCAAGGTAATTTGTTACAGCAGCTGTCGGAAACTAAAACAATAACAAGTGCAATATATGGAGCATTTCGTGGGGAAGACCTAAGCGGGCTGCTCAACGTCAGTGGGGGATCTCAAGGGAAGGTTTCCCTGTACATACTGAATAAAGTGAACAGGAATTTCCAGGCGAAGAGGAGGGGAAAGAACATTCTCGTCTATGGGGTGAGGGTGTGCTTATGTGGGGAATTAGGGCAAAATGGAACATAAAGGGAGAAACAAGAGAGGGTTTGGAACAGTACAAACCATTCACCTTGCTGGCAAACAATGTGGTGATGTGGCAAGAGAGGAAGCAGGAGGGATGGAGGTGGGCGACTTCTCTGCCCGGGGGAGGGGCTTAGGCTTTAAACCCAAGGTCCTTAGGAGGTTTTAAAGAATGGTAGTGGTGGTGGTGTGGGGTGTGTGTGTGTGTATTGGGGGAGGGGCGGAGCTGAAATGACATGGTAGGATTTGCATTTGAAAATACATATTACATACAATTTCCTTTTAGCAAATAACCCCCAAACAGAAATAAACAACAGCGATTTCAAATATGAGCCCCAGTCTGAATGCCACAAGGCAGAGGCTCGGAATGTGGGCGCTTGATTCACGGTCCGAGCCACTTTTAACCCGGACAATAATGTGTAGTGTCCTCCAAGAGGCAAGACTGTATCTGCTACTTTGTTCTCCGTCCCCCAAATCCTTCCTTTTTAGTGAACCCCGACACAAGGTCAGAGCATTTATTCAGTGAGGGTGCTGAGGGTGGTTTGAGGTGCTCTAGTCCCTACAACCCAAGCCATTCCAAAACATACATAATACTAATACCAATACTTTTTTTAAAATGTGGATAACCATAGGTAAAATGTGAAGAAAAGCAGCTTTAGAAAATATGGCTATTTAAAATGATTTATGTATATTCTGACATAAAAATAGCAATCAAATGCTACAGCTATAAGAGAAATCCATAAACATTGATCTGCCTTTCCTCAATTTCCACCCTCTGAGACATACCACTGGAGTTTTAAATTTAAGGATGGTTTATGGGTTTTCCTGGGCAGCACTATTATAGGTTGCTAATATTTTATAGTTCCATAGTCTCCTTAATCCTGAGTGGTTCTCTGCTCTCCTCCCCAGAAAGTTATTAAAATTATTTGGGTAATAGCCATTTAGAAAACTATGAAATACAGTCAGTACTTGATATTGATTAGAGTGATTAGTTTCAGTTAGAGTCCCTCTCTCCCTCCAGGAAAATGCACAGAAGTCTCACCTTTACCTCTGATCTTGTCCATTTCTCTGGGATATGGTGGGACTTAAATACAAAATGGAAAACATTTAGTTTTCCAAAATGGAAAAACACAAGTATTATTATTTTTAGTAACTTTGTCAAAAATGCTTAAAAAGTAGAAAACCTCTTCATTCCGTGGTGCTGGATTACTCACTGGGCTACCCATCCTGTGTTTACCCAGCAAAACTCGGACTAATGGAGTAGATTTCCCTCTCTGAGAAAGGTTAAGGCCAGAAAGACAGGTGAGGGTCACAGAACGCAAGGCAGCGTCCCAGATTCCAGCTCTGAGGGAGGAAATGTAGTGTTTACAGGACCAGCTTGCAAATGCAAACAGGAGCAATCCAAAGCAACATAACAAAGGATCCTCAACAGCAGGATTTCTTCAATGTTTAATGCAATTATAAACACCCATGGCTAACTTTGGAACATGATTTGTCTATAAATATCCATTTATCTATTAGTAGAACCACAAGGATTAGTTGACCAAAATTTACCTAAGGAAACGTCAACTTTCACTTCTCCAGTTGGGTCCCAAACTACAAGTTCATCTGTTAGGAAAACAAACAAATAGACAAAACAACAATTTTCCACCCCCCCCCCCACCTTTTTTTTCCCAGGAAGATTCAGAATAGCTCTCAGATATTAGAGGGCTGTTTCAGTTTTCTGTATCTGTTAAATGTGAGAGGGGTGGAGCCAATAATTAGTGAGGTTTTTATCCCCAGTCCCTAAATGTTTATGAACTTCCAAAGGGACACAGGAACCAACCTGAAAGAACTCCCAAGAGTCAAAGCTGGAACAATTTGAACAACATCATACATAATGTGGTATTGAATTATAGCTCCAAGTATAAAATGAATATGTATGAGTCCATGCTGATATAATAAATGATCGAATAGGTCAATAAATGGGAGAGGAGGAATAAATCCTCCTTATAGAAATATTCCAATAATATATGTAGATAGCCCCTCCCACCCCCAGATGGAGTTTCATTCCCCCACTCTCCTCTCCTGATACAGGTTGAACTTAGTGACTCCCATCCAAAGAAAAGAGTATGGAAAAAGAAAAATAGTAACTGTGCAGTAGAGAAAGAAGGCAGATAGCTACTTCAACCAAGCGATAAAAATTAGTATCACCAGCAGTTAAGTCATGTTGCTATCATGTACCCTGGTAGGAGGCTGTGATGAGAAAGGCACTTTCCCATTGTGGTCTTTCTCCACCAAACCCATAACCACAGTCTCATCATGAGGAAAGCAACAGACAAAACCAAATGAGAGATACCCACAAGACAGCTTAGCAGAATTCTAGAAAATGATCAAGAAAAACAAGACTTAAGAAACTGTTACAGACCAGAAGAGATTAAAGAGACATGACACTAAATGCATTGTGGAACCCTGGATGGGATCCTGGTACAGAAAGATATTAGCAGAAAACTAGTGAAATCTGTAACAGGTTGAGTTTAGTTGATAGTAAGGGACCAGTGTTAATTTCTTAGCTTTGACAAATGTACTATGTACTATGCACACGCTTACGTGCACACGTACAGACGTAGGATGTGAATATTAGGGGGCACCGGCTGAAGGGTTTAGGGAACTCTGGACTCTCTCTGCAACTTTTTCTTAAATCTAAAATTACTCCAAAATAAAAAGTTTTATATCCTCAACAAAGACAAAAGTTCATGAACTGAGAGTGCAAACAGAACCTTCTTCAAAAACAGCAACATCTGCCCCCTTTATACCTCTCCACCGACAGGAGTGCAGTGTTGGGGGCCGGGGGGTGGCTGCAGGGAGTGCATACCCGGGTGCGTGCAGCAGGGCGTGTGCGTCCCAGCGCGACGGGAGCGCGGGCTCCTCCCCGGAGTCTCCCAGGCGCCGGACTCTGGCCGGGGCGCACCCGACGGGGCGGAGCCCAATCTGACGGCGGCGGAGCCACCAACGCCCCGCGGAGCAGACCGTGGCGGCGGGCGGGAGAGCAAGGTCGGGAGCCCCGCGCGCTCCAAGGTAGGCGAGCCCCCGGCGACCCGCGAGCTCAGCCCTTGCGGCGCGCGCCTGGTCACCCCCCCTCCCCGCCCCACCCCCGGTGAGTGGACGTCCGGGGCCCTCAGAGCCGGTTCCCCCAGCGCAGCGCAGCGCACCGACGGCAAAAAACAGGTTCTTGGGGAGGAGGGTATTCCTCCCTGTATACCTCTCTCTCTGTTCTGGGCGAGAAGTTCCCGATTCCCCGGGCGAGAAGTTTCTGCTCCTCTCGGAAGAGAAAGAGTTGCCTTTCCCCGGGAAAGGATAACCCTCCTTTAGCCCGCTGCACATCTGGTTATTTATTTAGGTGACTGTTTTGCAATCCCTTTGCCAGGGGTCTCCGAGATTGAGAGGACCGGAAGACTTGCTGTCCCCTTGTGGCAGCTTCGACAGGTCACTGGGCCGCAATTTTTAAGAGCACAAATGAATGAATAAAGGTGGTTGTCTTACCCTTCCTTCGTTACCGCTGGCTTCTGTAGCTGCAGGTACGTATTCCAAAAGGAGAACAGCCCATTGGCTGACAGTTTTCTACTGCCCTGGGATTTTAGAGCTGGAAGTTACAGAGCTCTTGGCAGGTGTGCAAAGGGGCATTATTATCTTACTGAAGAATATAGTACAGGACAGTGTAAGGATAGTTGTTAGACTGAGTGAAGACATGGCTGTAAATTTTTCACCCTTCTTCAAAAGAGGGGAGAATATATATATGTAATATATATAAAAATATATATTATATATAAAATATATAAGAATACATCGTGTATATGAAATATATAATATATAGAAATGTAAATATAAAACATAATATATAAATATATGTATAATCTATATTATATATAGATTATATATTATATAGATTATATATTATGCATATATATTATATCTATATATACATATATAGATATGTAAATATAAAAACATATAATATATAAATATATATAAATATAAACATATATGTGTATATATATATTTATAAAATAAGGATCAGAAGAAGCAATTAGCCCCAAACATAACAGAGCTGTGTCTGTTTACCATTATACTATAGTTGTTTTATTTTAGGAATCAAAACTTTCTTTATTATCTTGGTATATATAGACTAGATAAAGCATCAAAGGGAATTATTCTGCATTTGCAATAAGGAAAAGATAATCTGCGCTTTTGACTTTACCTAATGCTATTAAATATTCAGTTGTGCAGAAGTCTGGTTTTTCAGAAATATGATCTGAGCCACAGTCTCAGGTACCCTGGCAGACACAATTGGTGCTTTGTTTCCTGTTACTGGCCTGTCCCCCACCCTCTCCCCTCCCCCACACTGAGAGTTTTAGAGTGAAGGTCCCTGACACAGAGGAATTTGTGCCTGAGGCAGGGTGTACCCTTGTGGTTCCTCAGCTACTTACAGAAAGAATGAAAACATCTTATACTTCCTGCAAATTTCTTAAGGTTCCTGTCTTTGTGATTTGCTAAATAAATTTCGTTAACTAAACCTACACTAATGAAAAAGAGACTTTTGAGATAAAAACACTATTTCAGTTATATCATTCCCTTTCATAATTTTGTGAAATAATAACAGGCATGTTATTTGTTAGCTGATTGATTTACAATGTGCTGGACAGTGGGCTTAGTTGTAGTCCAAATTCTGGCCGAAGCTGAAAAATTAGGCATATATTTATTTGTTTGGATCATGACTGAAAAAGGAAAGAACTGAAGGTTTTGAAAGGAATCTAAAAGTCTTTCAAAGTCTTGGTTTCGAATCTTCTGAACTGAGATAGTTATATCAAAATTATAGGCCATTTATCAATAGAAAATAAATTCATAATGGCAAAATGTTACTATCAACTTAATAACATGTTTAAGTGAATTTGCATTTTACTAAGCATGAAAACAGCCAGCTACATGGGTTAGGAAAACAAAAGCATGAGTGTGTGCACATTCAGTTTTAGAAAATATTTGGTGCATGTGTGGATTTGTGGGCCCATTCATGCATTGGTTGAGCACCTGTTGCGCAGAGCACTTTGAGTTCAGATTGGGAGGGAGGGGTGGATACAGCGATGTGTAAATAAGTCACATTCCTGTCCTCATGGAATTTGCACAATGCTGGAGTCCTCCAGGACACCTTGAGATCATAGATAAGAACCGTATCAGTGATCATCTACCAGTTTTGACAGTGACTGAAACTAGATTATCTTCAAATCACATACTCTCTTTCACCAATTTAAATAGTCAACTCTAAAATTATAAAAGAACTTATATATTATTCAGGTCAGTGTTTTTCTCTTTTGCTTAGATTGGGGAAAAATTTAGGAATCACATGTTCTGGGTTCAATATTAAGAAAAATTGAGATGTTAAGTCTGAAATAGCTAAATATCAATTTCATGCAAATTAAATAAAAACTGAACTTGTAGCAGTGGGTGCCAATAATTGAGCATATAAATCAATAAATGAAAAACTTCAAATTGAGAAAATTCTATCCATCACATTGTTTTTTCCTGTAAATTAGAAAAATATGACTGTAATTATATTTTGCCCCAGTGGAAAAGACTTACTTTGTCCAAGGCATTCTTGCTTTTTGTTGTTGTTGTCGTTGTTGCTGTTTTTAAAAAAAACCTTTATTGGAAGTATAATTTACATACCATAAAATATATCCAAGTGTACAATTCAATGATTTTTAGGAAATTTATGGGATTGTGCAACCGTTACCACAACCCAGTTTTAAAGCATTCTCAGCATCCCCAAAAGACCCCACCTTCCTATTTGTTACCCCCAGACAACCACTAATCTGCTTTCTCTCTCTTTAGATTTGACTTTCTGGACATTTCACACAAATGGGATCGTACAATAGATGGTCTTTCGCATCTGGCTTCTTTCACCTAGAACCAGTGGTTTTGAGGTTCATTCAGGGTGTAGCATGTTATCAGTGGCTTGTTCCTTTTTATTGCTAACTACTATTCATTCCATTCTATGGCTGGTCCACATTTTGTTCACCAGTTGGTGGGTAGTTCTGCATTTACATTTTAAGTGGTAAGACAGATACTTTGGTCCAGCTTCCCTGGTAGCATAATTAGAAAATAATTGATAGGAGCCAACCTCTTATTTATATTTATGAAAAATACAGTCCTGGTATGGATTACTGCTATTTTCTGTGATCTTTCTGTGATACTCCCATGAAAATAGTAAATAGTAAACCCTGTGCAAATAGCAGAAAACATCAATCATTTGGTATTCTAGGTTGGACTTAGAAAATGTTTTGCTCTTGACATTCATGTTTGCAAAGAGAATTCATATCTCCTTTGCTATATTTTCTTCACAAATGATGCATTTAGAGTGGGTGAATTTTGATGATTGTTTGACCTAACAGTGATAACTGAAGTACCCTTAAAAATCTGAGTGTTTCCTAATAACATATTTTAATGGCCCACTTAACATAAAGCATGAGTCATCTATTTCCTTAAGCCTTAAAAAGTTGAAGGGAGTGAATGTGAATTTATATGCTTTTAGTTTTATTATTCTATGGTTTCTATGACTGTGCTAAAGAATAAAACATACAGCTGTTTATTTACAAAATGAGGCACTAGTTTGAGCTCTTAGATCAGTGAAAATCTAAAACAAAACAAAACAAAAAGGTCCCACTTCTTTTTTCTCTGGGACCTTTTTAAGGAGCTAGAACAAAATTATAAATCACTCCAAGTTCCTATTAAGTGGTGGTGTTTTTCTGTGTGTCGTCCAGAGAACAAGCCAAATCAGAACTTTCTCACACTGCAAAAGCATTGACCTTTGAATTACCTTTCTTAGGAATCAGGAACCTTGAACAGCAGTTCGGTTAGAGCTGTTCCCTTGCACACCCCCATTCACCCTGCTTTGTGCCAACTACTACAGCAAATGCATTCTTAGGAGGCTATGCTTGGCAACTTATGCTTAAAGATCCTCTTAGAAGGATTTCTCTGGTTGAGTAGAAACCCTTCTAGAAAAAGCTGGCAAATTCTGTGAAACTAAAGAGAAGACAATATGTCTCTTCATGCCTGCAAGTTACTGCTGAAATTACACTTTCCTACTGGGGAAAAAAGAGCATTAATATAACCTGAAGGTCTATTTTATTGACAACTTAGAATGGGAAGGATTTTATTTTTAAAATTCTAAAATTTGAAAACAAGATAGTCTAGATTAAATAATGTAGTTTTCCAAAGCTGAATGTGCTCATTTGGAACTCAGTTTTTTCTGCTTGGAATATCAGAACAACTTGCTGAAATCCCTGGGTGGGAACAGTGTGCTTTTGATGATCTGTGATTGGATCAATTAATCAGTCTCTACTGCTAATGTCTTTTTTTTTTTTTTTTAACTTGGTAAGGGTTTAAAAATCTCTAGAACAGGTGCATTTTTCCAGACTTCCACTGACAATGTCATTCCAAATGTCTCCTAAGAGTCATATACCCTTGACAGGAATCTGTCTCCATCCTTCCCACTTTCATATGCTCTGAAATTGGCGGGGATATGCTCCCCCCAAGTTGTGTCTGTTCACCTGCAGGAGGAAGGCTTGATCAGCATTGAGCTGTGAGAGTCTACGAATTATTTTGATGAGCTCACTCACTCATCACTCATGATGATGTGATCTGTTATAAGGAACTAGGTTTTACCCAGAGCCAGAAGCTGCTCTCACCCTGGTTATCTTTCTGTGAGCTCCGGTTTGGGGAGGATGCTGCACTGAGCGTGTGCATCAGCCTGACATCTTCCTGCCATGGGAAGGTCCTCACTGCTGCCGGTGGTGGCCATCCCGGACAGACTTTGGAGTCGCTAACCCAGTAGCCTACGTGCAAATGGGCCGTGGTGAAGAGTGGAAACATGTTATGCAGCTAGAAAACGATTAAGAAGGAGATGGGTAGATGAGATGAGGAATTCTAGGTTCATGAATTAGATTTAAATCTTGTCGTGGCAAATACTCTTATGTACTTCTTGTATACTTCTATAGATTTCCTCCTACTTTTCCACTTTAGTGAATAATAAGTATGGTTAACTTTCGTAAGATGTTTAGGATTTTCCTGGGGCTCCTCTGTCACCATATTGAATGTCAGGCTCCCCTGGCTCTTCTTGTGGCAACAGTGGTTCTACTTTACCTTTTAACAATCCTGATTCCATCACTGTTTTGTTTTGTTTTGTTTGCCATTTACATTGTTTGGGGGTCAATAATTTGAATAAAGGGAAACAAATCCAGCTAATTGTGACTTCCAGTTAGTGCTGATAAAATCAGTGAAGGCCCTTGGCTTTTGAAATCTCAGTTGTACTTTGCTTTCTCTAGGCTGCTGTTGCAGGATTATTATTTTTAAAATAAAAGTATATAAGTTCACCTTTTTTAGCGCAGAGTTCTGTTAGTTTTGATGAATGGTTACAGTCATGGAACCACCATCACCATCAAGATGTAGAACAGTTGTGGGGCACCTGGGTGGCTGAGTCAGTTAAGCGTCTGCCTTCGGCTTGGGTCATGATCTCAGGGTCATGATCTCGGGGTCCTGGGATTGAGCCCCACATCAGGCTCCCTGCTTAGTGGAGAGTCTGCTTCTCCCTCTCCCTCTGCCCCCCCCACACCCCCGCTCATGGGCTTGCTCGCTCTCTTTCTCAAATAAATAAATAAAATCTTTAAAAAAAGGTATAGAACAGTTATGTTTCCCCCCCCAAAACAATTCCCCCGTGTCCCCTTTGTAGTCAATCCCTCCCCCACTCCCAGGCCCCAGGTAACCACTGATCTATTTTCTGTGCCCATAATTTCGAATTTTCTAAATCTCATACAAATAGAACTATAGAACGTAGCCCTTTGGATTTAGCTATTTTCGATCAGGAAAATGCTTTGGAGATTGATCTACATTGTGTGCATCAGTACTTCATTCTTCTTATTGATGAGTAGGATTTACCTTTGGAGGAATATTTGAATTTTTTCCAGTGTTTGACAATTAGAAACATTTGTGATTTATGGGACACAGACCTTCATTTCACTTAGGTAAATACCTAGAAGTGGGATTGCTGGGTTGTACAGTGAGTGCTTAACTTTATAGGAAACTGCCTTAGGGTTGTCCAACGTGGCTGCCCACTTTGCATTCCCATCAGCATCAGACAGGAGTTCTAGCTACTCTGCATCCTCATTCACGCTTACTGTTGTCTGTCTTTTACCTCCCTTACTGGATAATTTTTTAAATGAAGTAAATTATGTTGGAGCTAACATATTCCAGGATGAGTTTAGGAAGCTAAAGATATTTTGTGGATTCCCGAACCTTTCACTCTTAAAATATTTTATAATCACAAGAGAAATTTTCCAAAAGGGTACCTTCCTTTTAAATGTTACAAATGACTAAAATATATGTCATTGACATGTTTCTTTTCATATTCTCGTCACAGACAAATCCTAGGTGGTTTTGAGTTGATTGTTAACTGAGGTCAAAACAGGAGGAATAGTTGACTGATGGGGGTGATGGCGGGGTGGGGAGGGGTGGATAGTGAGGGGACAGCTGGGCTTATGCTTCGACACTTCCAAACAATGTCCTATATGCAAATGTCCTTAATGGGCTGTGGATTTCAATATGATTATTTAATATTCTTTGTGCGTGATGGGTCAGACACTTCACGAAGCATTTTTATGCACTGTCCCGTTTAATCCTCATACAACTCTGTGACAAATTCAACAGTTGCATCTGAAATTTTCAGTTGGGGAAGCTAAAGCCTGGGAAGTTTGAAACTGTTCCCAGGCCACCCAGCTAGTGGGAAGTAGAAGAGCCTCGTGGACAGCACCGACCAAGTCCGAAGCCGCCATTTTTAAGCCATGAAGCCATACTGCCCCTGTCCGTGGAATAAATCTATTGGGACAAAAATATCTGCTCTTGCTCCTGAAGGACACACCGGGGAGCTCACAGCAGAAGTCACTTGACTGTTACTTAGTGACCTGACTACTAAACTAGCTCGGGCCCAAGAAAGTAGGCTTAGAAATCCACTCAGAATAGAAGGCAAGGTGGTAAGATGGAAAGAACCAGCAAACTCAGGCTTGAGATCCACGACCATCATTAACTAGCTGTTTTGCTTCATCTTGCTCAGCTACCTTTACTCATCTATAAAATGGAAATAATAACACCGACCTCTCAGAGTGTATGTGAGGATTATTAAAGGAGGTAAACCCTAGCCTGCATGCAGTAGGCTCTCAGCAGACTCTGGTCCCTTCTCCCCAGTGGTTCCCCCAGATGGGAACGGATTCATGTGATTTTTTTTCCTTTTTTGCAGTTTCGTTGCTATACTGGGCACTGGGTGAAATCTTCAGCTGTTTTCAAAATTTCAAATTATGCAATGAACAAGGAAGATAGATTATTTCATTACAAAGACACCTCGATCTAAGGTCAGTCTGTCTGGGTTCAGGTGGAGAGGTCAATTGATGACCCTGAAAAACTTGAATCACTGTTCTGGGACTTGGTTGCCTTATACATACATACATGGGTGGATTTAGATACAGCTATAGATATATAGATAATAGGTATAGTGGTACAGTATGTTGTAATGATTAATTTTGACAATATACGGAAAATGATTTAGTAAATGGCACAGTGTTCGTCAATCCCATTTATTTGTATATTGCGTGTGTGCCAGTATTTCGATCCTTTTTTCAAAATCAATGACTTTTATTTCCTATCTAAGAGCTTTCTATAGTGTTGACTATGATGTAAATATCTGTTTGTATATAAATGAGTGTCACAAAGGAATAAAATTAATTCTACTTAAAAAATCTTAGATTATTACTTGAAAACAATGTCATTATTACTGGAGCTGAGGGTTAACACGCATGTCTTCTTATAGACGCTTACCTCCAGCGTCACTTTCAGGTAAAATGCACAGTCACCTGAGATTCAGCCAGCTGACACTGGATGTCACCATTGTGCTGTGTAATACAGCTGCAGAACAGGTGTGCTCTTTAATGTTCAAGACACAGTCAGTCTCTTCTAGGGTTTGGACATCTGTTCGCGTTCTTTCCCTGCGACATTAAAAGAAAAAGAAAGTGGTAGGTTACACTGTGTACCTTACTGTTCTTAGAACACGACCCTAAGCAAATTCCAGCCTCTTGTCTTGCTGCCCCTTCGCCTGGGACCCTCTTCTCCCCAGCTGGCCACACAGCATCACCTTCTTTCGTTCAGGCCTTTTGCTTAACTGCCACCTCTTCAGAATGGCCTTCCCTCACCACGCATCCAGAACCGTCCAGAACAGCACCTCGTTCTCTTCTGTTTCCCTTCTCTACTTTTCTTCCTCACGCTTGTCACCACCTCTCAGTACATTCCCTGTGTGTTCACTGCTTAGTGTAATGTCTGTCTTCCCTCTGCGCTGGAAGTCCCATGAGGGCAAGATGTCTTGCGCACCTCTGTGGTCCCAGCACCTAACACCGCTGTATTCAATGAATACTTGATCCATGGGTGAATCAATCAAAGGTTAAATAAAGGGAGAAAATACCTTTGTTAGAAGCTCTAGAATATAAGCAGTGCCTGTATTCATTTCCTAGGACTGCTGTAACAAAGTACCACTGACTAAGTGGCTTAAACATAGTAATTGCTTGTCTCACGGTTCTGGTAGCTGGAAGTCCAAGATCAAGGTGTTGGCAGGATTAGGTTTTTCTGAGGCTGTAAGGAAGGGTCTGTTCCATGCTTCTCCTCCAGCTTCTGGTGGTTTGCTTGCCATTTTGGCTTTTCCTTGGCAGATAGAAGCATCACCTTGATCTCTACCTTCAGCTTTACATGACATTCTCCTGTGTGCATCTGTGTCCCAATTTTTATAAAAACACCAGTCATACTGGATTAGGGGACCAGCCTACTCCAGTATGACTTCATCTTAACTAATTACATCTGTGATGATCCTGTTTCCTAAGAAGATCGCATTCTGAGATACTGGGGAGTTAGAACTTCAACATATGAATGGGGAGGAAGCAAAATTCAACTCCATAATGGTGCCTCATATGTGTTTATTGTATAATGCATAAGCCATTCTTATGTCATTAAACAGAGAAGTAGGTTTAGTTACATTACCCTGGGCACCCAATGATGTGTTGGTTTATTGCACAGATTACAAATAATGTGTATGAATTGCTTTGTAAATTGGAAATTATTCATTAGGTGTTAGCATAATCAGTTGGGGATGTTGATGAATTATTGATGTGTTATTGAGAAAGAACCAATACCATGGATTTGCTAGTCTTAAAATCCCAGAAGCAGATTTTCCTAGCTGGGTCTGCGGACTGTTTAAAATATTACCTAGTTCTTCTCTAATAATCAGACGGCTTATCAGCAATAATTGTGGATAATGGATTCATATTTTATTTACTCATTTGACAAACAGATACAAATCACTTATTTTATGCTGTGAACTGTTTTAGGTGCCCGGAAAATGTTAACTCACAAAAAGTCCTATGTTGTTTATTATTTCTATCATTATTAATTATTAATCTTATCTGGGAATAAGGGAACTGAGGCACAGAGAGGTTAAGAAACTTGCCCACGGTCACACAGCTCCTGAGTGGCAGAGTCAGGCCCTGAAACAAGGCAGTCTGCCTCCAAACCTTTTCATTTGTAGAATGTTCCTTCTTCACAGAAAATCTCATGGAAGAATTCAGTGTGTGGCATAACAAAGCAGAACTGCTTTGGTTCAAGTTGAGAATGGCAAAGCCCTGTCTACTTAGCACCTCCCCTCCCCCTGGGAGCCCTGTTTGCAAAGCCCCGATCTAGGAAATAACACCTCTTGGCGTGATGCCACTTATAAGCGGTCTTCAGTCCACTCTAGCATAAAACAAATACAATTGTTTTCTCACTTTAATTAACTGATTGTGTTTTATTTTGAAAATTTTATCTGCCTAATCTACTTCTGGCAGAAATAAAATGCTAAAATGGACTTTCCCTGGGATGGTAATGCCATATGGTAATTTGGACTTTGCTGGCTTAAGTTCACCTTGGCTTTCTTTATACAGATCAAGGACTGTGATCACAAAAATTTCCTGAATCAAAGAGAGAAATGGAATTTGATTTCATTTGAATAGAGTTGGCTATAAACTTCGCAACCAGGTTGGCATAAACCACCCCCTCTGTTATAGGCTGCGTGTCTTCTGTGGTTATTAATAATATTAAAAAATAGGAGCAACGATATTAACCATTACCGTCCATTGAGTGCCTGCTGCAACCAAGGAACTAAAAACAAACAAACTAACAAACAAACAAAACCCTCAGTTTTACAACTCTAGGTGTTTTATCCCTATTTTACAGATATGGGTAAGTTGAGGCTAAAATTTTATGTAACTTGATGAAGATGACCCAACCAGCAAGTAGAAGAGGTACAGTGTTTTGAGAAATATCAGTGATTAAGGAGCAGAATTCCTTGATATGAAGAATAAAAGGCACAGAAGAGAATATGTTTAGGAAATATAACGTGGGGCCCGAGGTGATTTTCAAATTATGAAAGACTGTGAGAATGCATTTGGGATCCATTCCGAAGAGTGATTCATTCCTATGCTGAAACGCCTCTTATCATTCGTTATTGTACACATTGTGTAACATACTAAAAAGAAAAAAAAAAGAATGCAAATCAATCAAATGGGACTGTGGATCAGAGGGGGATGGAACTGGAGAACAAAACAGAACTCAGACCAAATTTATTGTTCTGCTCGCCTCTATTTTCCCCCAGATTTTGCTCCCACCCTCTGCTACATCCTAACCCAGGGGTCAGCAAACCTTTTGTGTAAAGGACCAGGTAGTAAATATTTGAGACAGTGCTTGCCACATATTTTCTCTGCCGCAGCCACTCAACTCTGCTGTTATAAAGCAAAAACAGCATAACCAGCATGTAAATGAATGGCTGTGGTTATTGTAGAGTAAACCTTCATGTATGAACACTAAATTTGAACTTCATATCATTTTCATGTAGTGCTTGTTTTGATTTTTGTTTTGTGTGTGTGTGTGCGTGCACGTTCATGTTGGACCATTAAAAAACGTTAGAACCATTGTTTGTTCATAGGTTGTGCAATAGGTGGGAAGCCAGATTGGGTTCCCATGGTTTGCCGACCACCACTCAAGCTTGAACTTCACATTCCCCTCTGGTTTTCAAGCACATTGCTTCTTGTCTCTATGGATGTTTCTTTTATTTCAGATTGCATTTAAATGCTGTTTGGGACCAAGGACTTCATCCGGGAAGAGACTTCAGAGGACCAAGTAGCAGAGGTGCGTGCAGCATATTCTGCAAAAGCTGACTTGTTGCGTTGCAACGGCCAAATCGACTGCAGGCAACACAAAGAGAAGCCACTGTGGCTGTCTAAGAGGATTTGCAATAAAATGGAAAATTCTTGGCGTCCTCTGTCAATTTCATTGAAGATTAAATGATAAATTCAGGACTTAGAGTTATCCTAGCCTAGAGATATCCTAGCTATCTAGTTTTAAAGTGATGCTAGCTGGGCGCCTGGGTGGCTCAGATGGTTAAGCGTCTGCCTTCGGCTCAGGTCATGATCCCAGGGTCCTGGGATCGAGCCCCACATCGGGCTCCCGGCTCGGCGGGGAGCTTGCTTCTCCCTCTGACCCTCTCCCCTCTCATGCTGTTTCCCTCTCACTCGCTTTCTAAAAAATAAATAAAATCTTTAAAAAAATAAAAAATAAAAAAAAAATAAAGTGATGCTAGCAAATGTGAAAATTCTTTGTGTGTTTTACCAGCAGAGGTCATTGCTAAATTTTAAATATTTTTGTTGTTTTTTTCTCACTAGGGCAGCCAGCCTTAATGTGATAGAAACACCCTTGAACTTGTCGTCCAAAAGACAAAGGCTTGAGTTTCAGCTCTTAGTTTTACGGTGACCTTGGGTAAGTTATCACCTACGGGGGTCTTGGCTTCCTTATCAGTAAATTGAGACGAATAATCCTACCTCACAGGGGTTTTCATTTTATTTATTTTATTTTTTTCAGTTCTTTACTATTTATTAGGGAAATTTCAAACAGAACCAAAATAGAGGAGTCTAGTGAACACCATGTGCCCTCGACCCGCTTCAGTGATTCCTTGCATTTTGCCAAACTTCATTCATTTTTACCCCACCCCATTTTTTCTCTCTGCTAGAGCATTCTACAGCAATTCCAAATGTAATATTTCAGTAAGTATGACTAACGGAAAAGATCTTTCTAAAGAATATCATAATTCTAGGGGTGCCTGGGTGACTCAGTCATTAAGCATCGGCCTTCGGCTCAGGTCATGATCCCAGGGTCCTGGGCTCGAGCCCTGCATCCGGCTCCCTGTTCAGCGGGAAGCCTGCTTCTCCCTCTGCCACTCCCCCTGCTTGTGTTCCCTCTCTCGCTGTCTCTGTGTCAAATAAATAAATAAAATCTTTTTTAAAAAATCATAATTCTAATATCATACCTAGCGAAATTACAATGACTCTTTAACATCATTTGTTACCCAGTCGGACTTTAGGTTTCCCCAGCTGTCTCAACAATGTCTTTATGTAACTGGTTTATTTGAATCAAGAGCCAAAGAAGATTCCTGTATTGCATTTGGTCATGTTTCTTAAGACTCTTCATTTGTGGCAATTTTCCTTCTTTTCTTCCCATCTTTCTTCATATAGTTTATGGAATTAACTAGTTATTCGTCCCATAAAATGTCACATAATTTGGGTTTGGCTGATTGCAGCCTTAACCCTTGTAGGGTCATTGAACGTTTTCCTCTTGTCCAGATACTTACTGTCCTTAGATACAGTGCCTTGATGAGATTCAAGGTCACTTTTTTTTTTTTTAAAGCATACTTTGTAGGTGATGCTTTCTACTTGTGACTGTACCACATCTAGAGGACAAAATGTCTGGGTGTCTCTTTCTACTTACGTCAAGATGGATTAGTGAGGTTCCCCAGGTTAGTACATCAACTTCTCACCTAGAGATTTTAGCACTGGTTGATGACTGTTGTTTCAGATCCATTACTTCATAAGGGGTTACAAAATGTAGGTCTTCTATCAATCCACTTGGATTTATTAGCAGAAATTCTTTAGAAAAAAAGAATCAACTATTTGGTCACCATGAAATATAATCCATACAGGAAAGGCAAGATAAATGCTTGTTGGTGACCCCTCACTCCCTCTTTTGAACTAATGTTAGTACAATGGTGGCCTCTCCATTGAGTTGGATGATAATGGTTGCTGGTGGTGGTGGTTTTTCTCCTTCACCATGATTTCAGGAATTTCAAAATCCTTCATATTTTTCAATCCTTCACAGTCATTTTTCTATCATGCTGGCTTTTGTGTCTTATTTGAGTAGCATTTGATCACTTTTTGCCTTCTGGAAGAACAAGATATCTTGAGCTTACTTTGTACATTTCTTGTCCCAGACCTAAATCACTCAAGAAGCCATGGTTTCTTTTTAGTGGAAAGTGGTATACTGAGACCACAGTCTGGCACCAGGAGCGTTAATCACTTATATTTCTAAATTTTTGAGTGGCTGGACCTAGAATATTCATTTTTAAGGGAAGATAAATCGTTATTTCCTACTCATCATTTCAGTTTGGATTGTAAGGTTTTTACAGAACATTTTTTGTTCTAACGGTAGGAGCTTTTTCTTTTATTCTCAGAATCTTGGTTCTTAATGATGTTAAGACAATGACTTTGTGGCTTTATTCTACATCATGCATTTCTGTGGGTGAGTGCATGTGTATGCACGTACACATATACTAGTTTCAAAATAGCAACACCAACATTTCCATTAACAATATTATTAGTGAGTATGGTTTAAGATTGTTTTGCAATTCTTTTTATTCCTAGGGCATAGCACACCTGGGATAAATAGTCCCTGGCAAATGCTTTAAAAATCACTTCAAATAATTCATGTGGCTATGTCACCAACTTGATATAAAGATATAGTCATTTGTTTTATTTATTTCTTATCTTGAAGGATTTCATTTTTTCTTTTTAATTTAGTTTTATTTTAAAATGAGGTAAAATAATGTTCAGTGTCAAAACTTAAATCATAGATTTTCCCCTTCTATCCACCTCTCCCTTCTTTTAGAAATCATGATGCCATAGATCCTTTATATATCCTTTTCTGCACCATGTTTTTTTTATTGAATAATGCATCCTAGAGAAGACCCCATAGCAGTAGATTATTCAACCAGTCCTCTTTTTGTGGGCGTTTCAGCTTTTCCCAACATTTTTCTATTACAAATAGTTCTCCAGTAGATGACCTTTATAGGCTATTGAGAGTTAGATAAAGTGTAAAGTGATATATATATATATATGATTTTGCTATAATATATTGTTTTAGTTCCACGGTCATTTATTAAGTAGTTATAATGTGCTAGAATACAAAGATGAATAAGATGTGGTCTCTGGTCTTGAGGTTTTACAGTCCAATATGATGTGGAGTAAAAAAGAAACACTTTACATTTTTCCTTCTCAGATAATTTGATTTTTATGCTTCTAATCAGTGAATGCTTCAGCTGGTGCTGTTTTTATATTAAATTAATTCCTGGATTTCTGGATCTATACAGATATCAATAATTTATAATACTTTCTACTATATTTAATTACAGTGCTAATACAGAACTTCTTTTAGTTTATGAGCCATATTACCGTATCATCAAAGAAGTTAGTTTTGTCTAATCGATTTATGCTTCCCTAGAGCCAGAATTCACAATGACAACAGTAACAGGGACCACAGAGGTCCCCCCAATGGGTAAAAGAGAAGATAATTCTGCCTTGTATGAGTTCACACCAGCTCATGTTATTGAAGAAACCGAATATGTGAGAAAGGTATGCAGGTGCTGGGAATCATATTAGCATGACATGATATTTTGAAATGCAATCTAATATGGTTTGGTGGGCTTTGTTTCTCCCTCCATAGAACCTGAGAGGACACATTTGGTAAAAGGGCAATCCCAGCAGCTGAAATTTCAACATATGTTTAGTAACCTCTCTTGAGGACATGAACCTCTGTTCCCACATGTGGAGTAAACTTGAATAATGGGCCAGAAGGGTTCAGAACGCCTATCAGCACTTAATTTGCCCCACACCATTCACCACTGTACTTCCTACCATTTTATATCATTTCTCAGTGGTTTCATGAGTGTTGATACTGCGTTCCCAAGTAGATGTTTACGAGTCTCTCTGAGTTTCTGTCTCTCCTTACCCACTTTCTTTTTACATTCTGGGTTGCTCTCCCCAGTGACCCATGTTGGCATGTTACTTCATTAAAAATGTGAAATCTTATGAGAATCCAGGGATAATGGCTGACAAAAGTATATATTCTTAGGAACTGTTTCTTTGAACAGATAGAGAAATTTGGACAGAGATAGTTGGTAACTTATTTAGATCGATTAATTTATCTTTGAGTGTCTTGCAGTTCCATAGGTCACTAAGACATGGGGCTTATATTTCCTGCATAAATTTGTATGATCTCCTCTTAGTAATTATTCTGTAGTAATTACTAAATAGTAATTATTCTCTAGTAATTACAAGCTAGTAATTATTCTCTAGTAATTACTAGCTAGTAATTATTTTGTAGTGATTACTAAATAGTAATTGTTTTATAGTAATTACTAAATAGTAAATTAGTACTAAATTACTACATAGGAAAAATAGAATTAAATAGTATTAAATACTAATTACTAAACGGTAATTATTTTGTAGTATAATATTCATTTAGGTTATATTTTAGGTTTGACTGAGAAAGAATTATAAAGACCAAATGTTCATTTTCTGCAATCTAAACCATATTAGCCTAAATGCAAGTCAGGTTAAAGGCAGTGATTTAAATCTAAATCAGTATTTATGTATTAACTTTCCAGTTAAATCAGCTATACTATAGCTGGTATAAAGGAAAAAAATATTTGGCATTAAATGCCTTTGAAAAAAAATAAAATCTTTTTTTCTTCTAGATCCGAACTACTCTGGAAAAGATCCGAAATCAAATTTTTAAAGATGAAGTAGGACATAACAGTACACATCACAAACTAGAAACAAAGGTAATAAATGGATCAAAATGTACCACTTTATTCCTTCAGTAAATAAACATAAAACAGTATAAACCTTATTTAAATAACTTTTTAATATAATTATTAAATTTTCCTTTGAAGCTTTGAATGATGAATGTTAAATATTTTGTCAGTATCTAAAGATGTTAATGGGCATATGTAAGAAATATTTAACCCCAGATGTTATTAGTAGGCTCAGATTGGAATGACTAGACCTTACTTGAATATTTTAAACGGGGCTTACTTATCTAAAGTATATGGGAAGATGTCAGCCCAGCCAGGATATATGGCAGCAACATTTCCCAAAGACAGATGGAGGTACACCTTTTAGGCTCACAGAGTTGAAGCTGTTAGGTTTCTGGGTCAAGTGATCAGACAGTTGATAAACTTAAATTTCCCTCTCCCCTTCGACTGGCCTTATATTCATGACATCAAGCAATCTACGCTTAGCCTTGTCTGGATTCTGCAGGTTAGAGCTCATCTGAGCCAGGGGCACCTCATCAATGTCAGTGTTGTCCACTATATAGTATGGCCACAGAGCATGCAGATCACAGGGTCTGAGGCATAAACAGTGTTCCCTTTATCATCCTCAGCCTCCCAAACTAACACAACTAGCTCCAAATATTTTCTTTTTTTTTTTTTTAAGATTTTATTAATTTATTTGAGAGAGAGAGAGAGAGAGAGCGTGAGCACGAGGGGGGTGGGGTGAGGGGCAGAGGGAGAAGCAAACTCCCCGCTGAGCAGGGAGCCCGATGTGGGGCTCGATCCCAGGACCCTGGGATCATGACCTGAGCTGAAGGCAGACACTTAACCGACTGAGCCACCCAGGTGCCCCAGCTCCAAATATTTTCTTATAGTAAGTGCTCAGAAACTAGAAAAAAAGGTTAATATTTGTGAATGGTGAAAAAGATAAAAAATTCCATTTTGGTTCTGTGGAGTTGTTTATTAGACCTCTAAGTGGAGGTTCCTCATGGGTGCTGCATGTCTGATTCTGGGGTTGAAGGGTCTGGGCTTGGAGGTCCAGGCTACAGGGCAGAGATTTGGGGCATAAGGATAGCATTTAAAGTTCTGAAATTGGACGAGATCACCAAATATGTGAGTGTGGATAGAAATGACAGGGGCACCTGGGTGTCTCAGTCAGTTGAGCATCTGACTCTTGGTTTTGGGTTAGGTCATGATCTTATGGGTCCTAAGATGGAGCCCCGCCTCCAGCTCTAGGCTCAGAGGGAAGTCGAGGATTCTCTCCTTCTGCCTCTCCTGCCACACGGGCGGGAGCTCTCTCTCTCAAAAATAAATACGTAAATAAATAAACAAATCTCAAAAACCAAAAGAAATGACAGAAAATTTGAGCATTGAGTTCTGAGATATCCAACACTTAGGAAGAAGAATCACCAGAGCAGGCTGGGGAAAGAAGCTAGTGAATTCGAAGGAAAATCAGGAGAGAGGGGAGTCACTGAAGACAAGTGAGAAAGGGTTTCAGAAAGTGGGGAGAGGCCACTGTGTCAAATGGTGCCTCTGGGCCAAGTAAATGGAGGGCTGAACATTGACCACTGGATCTAACAATGGGGAGGTTGTTGGTGACCTTGATAGGAGTAGCTTCTTAGGAATGGAGAGGAATTGTGTTGCTGGTGTCTGCCTTGGTCATCTCAAACCTCAGATGGTTAGCAGACATATAACAGCCTCAAAGTACCTGCCCCTTCCCCTGCAATATCTGAACAATGTCCATGTAGGAATTTAGCTGTCGTGATCTCGGGCTTTGCTGCTCACCAAGTGTGGGCTGCCGTCCTGGGAGTAACAGCAATATCAGGGAGGTCTTTAGAAATGCAGCATCCAGCGAAGAATAGCATGGAGCAGATACCGTTTGGAGGGCAGTGAAATTTACTGGAAAAAAAAATTGTATAATCACTTCTAATTCTACTCTCTAGAGATAACCGTTACTAACATTTGCTATGTACGTCCTTCAGTTTTTTTCCTATGCATGCTTTTGTATATATGGCTATGTTTCTTTCCATAAAATGGTATTACTGTATATATTGTTTTATGTCCTGTGTATTTCATGTAGAAGTATATTGCTCACATTTTCCCATGTCAATATATATTCTTCTATGGCTTAAAAAAAAAGAAAGAAATGCGGCATCTAGAGCCCCACCCCAGACCTCTTGAATCAGAATCTGCATTTAACCAGATCTGTCACCAAATGACTCATATGCACATTAAAGTTCAAGACGCACAAATCCATGACCTTTGTAGCTATCTATTGCTGCCAGCAATCTGCCTTCTATAAGAGTCTTTCTATCAAGTATCCTTTAACAAATTAAAAAACAAAATAACTTCTATATACAGAGAGTGAGAGTATATAGTAGGGTCTGGAGTAGAGTAAATAAAACCCTGACCGAATTATAGTGACTATATTATTTATATGCACTATATTCTTTTTTGTTTTTTTGTTTTTATTTCTGTAAATGTAGCCCATCTTTTGTACTGAAAAGAATATTGGCTTTGTTAAACAGACTTGGATTCTAATTCTGGTTCTGGTAGTTATTTTAGTTATAACCTCAGGCTTATTAGTGAAACACTCTCATCGTCAGTTTTCTTCTCTGTATAATGGTCACAGTGCCTTCTAGTGTTTTAAGTAATCAGACAAAGGGGTGTTGATAAAACATCTAAAAGATTACATGGCACATAGGTAGGTAGATGCTTATTAAATAAAAGCTATTATTTTATAATTGTTTCATGTAGGGTATGTAGAATTGTGTAATTCCTTTGTCTGTCTTGAAATAATTTGGAAGAGCAGAAAGCATAGGATGGATACTCAAGCGGCTGTGTCAAGAGCTCTCCCACTTACTGCATAAACCCAGGCTCAGTACCTCACTTTTCATATCGTAAAATTGATGTAGTTGAGTTAGATCATTTCAAATTTCCTTTCCACTTCTGCGTGTCCTTGATTCCAGATGAGATTTATTTTATGCTCTAAGTGTATTTTCAGTGGGCTAGAGTTTACATTGAGTCACACTGGCAGTAATATTCAGTTCTGACATCTCTGGAAATTTAATATGGGGTGATTACAGTGAAACATCACTGAACATTGAATATTATGTCTTGTAACTATTATGTCTGATTATATTAGTTTATAATACAATGTAACCAAAATGCACTTATGTCTGCAACTTAGGCAAAAAAGGAAAAAAGTTGGCCTTGTGGATATTATTTATCTCCTAAAAAGGACTTCATGGTAAATTTAAAACTATAGGAAATATAAAAAGTATAAAAGATGTACCTCTACCTTTTTTTGATACAAGAATCTAATCAAATTTGAGCAAATACAGAAGTCAGCTGCTTCATCTAGAATTCCCTATTAATACTTGAAATTCAAAAGATGTATTTTATTTGTGCTGACCTGAATCTTTTTTTGGTATATGTAATAGTGAGTGGTAATTACTGTTGTCAAAGTTTGTAGAGGAAAGAAATAGTCAGGTTGCTGAGTTTTGTGTTTTTTCATTTCAGCACTGTCGAAACATTCAAAATGGCTCTGATTCTGAAATGGACCCCTCTTGTTGCAGTTTGGATCTGCTCATGGAAAGGATGAAAGGAAAAGAACAGCAGATCTTAGAAATGAACAAAGAAAATGAAGTATTGAAAATCAAGGTATGGCTATCAGGAGAAATTTCTTTTTTTTTTTTTAGATTTTATTTATTTATTTTAGGGAGAGAGTGGGAAGGGGCAGAAGGAAAGGGAGAGACAGAATCTCAAGCAGACTCCCTGCTGAGTGCGGAGCCTGACATGGGGCTCAGTCTCCCAACCCTGAGATCATAACCTGAGCCAAAACCAAGAGTTGGACGCTTAACTGACTGAGCCACCCAGGTGCCCCTATTAGGAGAAATCTAATTTTGTATTTTTGAGCCAATAAGATAGTTTCATGGATGTGTAAAAACAGACAGACATCATTATACATCCACAGATCCATACGTATGTTCACCTATGTAGAGAAATGCTTTTCCATTTCATAAATTAATTCTGTTTTATTTTGGAGACTACTTTACTATTGAAAAGATTTTACACAAGTTCAACGGGTATAAAGTTTCAGTTGTGCAAGATGAATCAGTTCTAGAGATCTGCTGTGTTGTGCCGGTAGTTAATACGGTGTCTTACACTTAAAAATGTGTTAAGAGGGTCGTCTCATGTTAAGTGTTCTTACTAAATAATTTTTTAAAGTCTTTCATGTTTAATAAATATTAATTAGAGCACTCAAAGTTAAATGTCTCATTATTTTGTTTAATTAATCTATTGTTGGATGCTTTAGATTTTCTTCTTTTTCTTTTTCTTTTTTTGGTTTGTTATGTATGCAGTCCTGCAATGAATATCTCTGTAGGTAAATCCTTGTGGCCATTCCTGATTATTTCTTTAGGTTAAGTCCCTTGAGAGATTCATGACACTCACCCTTAATCCTCACATCTTGTCCCACTGCTATTTTAGGAAAATACATCTTTTAGGACTGTTGTGGACATCAATGATAAAACACAAATAAGTGTATAAGCCGATAAAGCACTGGGAGCTCTTTGAAGGGTGCAGTTTATAAATGTAGCCCATTGATTTTGGAGCTTTAGATTGGCCTGGTCAGTGCAAATCCTTCTGCATGACAGTTTCCCTAAATAGGGCATTTCTCATTTTACATTTTCCTCTTAACCAGATCGTAGTGTCTTTTCTCCTATCTATTGTCTAGGAGGATGCAAATGGTACAGTTACAGCCTGTTTTCAACCACCTGTCAAACTGTTCTGCCTTTAACCCTTTTTGCTGTAAACGTCAAAACATTCATGACCTCTTTTCCCAGCTGGAAGCCTGCAGACAAGCAGGAGCAGGGGCTCTGAGAAACGTGGCCCAGAGATTATTTGAAAGCTACCAAACACAGTCTGAAGAAGTTAGAAAGAAGCATGAGGATGGTAAACACTTACTCGAGGTACTAAGCTAGCAGCTTGTCTATTGGAAAACTAGCACCCCAGTGTGTGTGTATGTGTGTTGGTTCACAAATCTCTTTTTGAGGTTAGGTGTAAAATAAGCAATGTCCCCGGGACTCTGGCAAGCCTTGGACAGGGCAGGGTGCCCATCTTCGGTGCCGGTCTCTCCCCACCCCTGCTTAGCCTGGCACCCAGACGTTGCCCGGATGCTGTGTTGCCGCTGTTGCCCAGAGCCCTGTGGAACACCGGTGGAAGGAGGCGGTACCCCCTGCCTGGAAATCGGGGCTGTCCCAGTGACACTGGCCAGTGACTCCTCCCCTGGTTCTGCTTTTGACTAACTAGATGACCTAGGTAGAGTCGTTCTCCCTCTTTGGGGTTGGATTTCCGTGTCTCTACAATGAAAGAATTGGGCTAGATCAATGGTTTCAAAATGGTTTTGACCCTAGAATATATTCTTCAAATTAAAAAAAAGAAAACGTATGTGTACCTTTATATTTTAAAATGCGTATTTCATATTTTAATATATAAATTAAAATATTTTAAACACATAAATATGTATACATGTGTATGTATGTGTGTGTGTATATCATAGACATACACACGTGCAGACACACCCATCCTTTTTTTGTTTTGTTTTTAAATCTGAAGTGTACATTCTAGGACCAGTTGTACACCAAGCATATTCTAGGACTGGAAAAGGAAAAAAAAATGTGTGTGTGTGTATGTTCATCAAAACTCAAAATAGGGAAGCTCACTGATGCTGGGGTGGGGTGCCTAGGCCTCTGCGAGGTCCCCAGGGGAGCACAGTAGGAAATCCACTGGGCAGGTGATACACCTTCATGCTGCTGGATGTGGTGGTGATGGTCAGAAACTCACATGCATGTGAGGGTGCAGATTAAGAACCTCAGTGAATGAAGCGAGCCTGCTTGTGTGGACCCGAGTGTTCTGTGTGAGTGAATGGTTGGCCTGTAGGGAAGGGAGTGCACGCACATTCTGCAAAGGGGCCTCAGCCCCGGCCTGAAGTTGCCTGGCAGGAATGCCCAGCTGGGGTTTCCAAGGGAAGGGAGCTAGACACTTTTTTCTACTGTAAATCTCAAGTTTTATGAAATGTAAATGCTGATGTGTGTGTGTGCATGTCGAAGTCAGTTGAGACACTCCCAAGTGTGGCCTATGGGCTGCCAGATGTAGACTTCACTTCTATGGTCTTTAGTACAACTCAGGCTATAGGCCTGAGAAATAGCCCCCAACACAGTGGGGATCATTATTCTGCTTTTATGAAACTTTCTGATTAAAAATAAAACACTAAAAAAAAACTGAAACGTTTTTTACTGGAACAGTAAAAGATTTCATTTTTGTTCTAATTCAGTTTCATTGAGAAAAAGTCAAAAATTTCACTTTTCTTAAATTAGCATCTCTCTTATACCAGTTGGGATAGCATGATTTATGGTAACACATGTAAACATTCTAGGAATAATACTAATATATTATTAATTCTACATTGCTTTAGTTTGTTGCAGCCCATTAATTCAAAAGAGTAATTTGAATCAAGTGTGAATTATTAATTTTTTTTGGCTACTCAACATTATAGAGGGAGAGAATAGCTGTATAAATTTAATAAAAGCAAGAGTTTGATAATCATTTTTCTGACCTAAGGTTAACAGACTCGAAAAGGAACAGCAATTGAAGCAACATGTTGAAAATCTGAATCAGGTTGCTGAAAAGCTTGAAGAAAAACATAATCAAATCACAGAGCTGGAGAACCTTGTACAGAGGATGGAAAGGGTGAGCCCCTGGGGATTTAAAGGGATTTCTTCCAGACAGGGTTAGGGAGAGGATGAAAGAAAATAGCACTAAAATAAATATATAAATATTACATATGTATAAATATAACTTATAAGTTTATATAATTAAATATATTTATATAATAATATGTATATTTTATTTTATTAGTTTTTTTTATTATGTTCAATTAGCCAACAATAATATATATATTTTAGAGAGAGAGCATGCATGCTAGAGCGAGCAGGGGGAGGGGAGGAGCAGAGGGAAAGGGAGAGAAACAATCTCAAGCAGACTCCCTGCTAAGCACGGAGCCCGACGTGGGGCTTGATTTCATGACCCTGAGATCATGACCTGAGCCAAAATCAAGAGCAGGATGCCCAACCGACTGAGCCACCCAGGCACCCCTAAAATAAATAAGATATTAATTGAAAGTAAGTACCCTTTGCAACAACTAAGACTTTAGAAAGTACTCAATAATATTAGTTCCTTCCCTTATACACTTAACATCATCTGTACGGTCGCTGATTGACCTCTCTACAAATACTGCAGTCATATCATCCTCTGTCCCTTTCTCTCTCTGGTGTATGTATGGCTTAGAGAGGCGAAGCAGATGAGGCTGTGAGTGGAAACAATGGGAATGATCACAAAGTCCACCTATTACTAGTAATCATACAGTGGATCCCTGTAATCATAGCATTTCTACGTTAGAGTCAGTGAAGTATCCATTCTTTGGCCACCCGAGTTCACTTTGGGATTGTGAATACCTATGGCTGCATTAGGACCGATATAATTCACATTAAGAAAAGACATCCTCTAGGAATTGGAACTTCCATAAGAGACAATTTAGAAAAGAGTTGTGACAGAGCAAAAATTCTTAAAAATTTTATGCCGTGTGCCTTTGAATGACACTCCAAAAATATGCACAAGGTGAGCCCATAAATTTAATAATGCATCCCTTAGAATTTAGAATACAGGCAAACCAAGGAATACTGGGTTTTTAGTGGCAAAACAAACTAATAGAAAATTGGGCTCTCTGAAACTGAATTTGGGCTAGATAAGAATATAGGCTTTGGAGGTGCCTAGATGCCTGGCTCATTCAGTAGAGCGTGCCACTCTTGATTACAGGGTTGTGAGTTCGAGCCTCACATTGGGTGTAGATATTACTTAAAAATAAAATCTTCAAAAAAAAAAAAGAATATAGGTTTTGACTGCTGGTAAATATTGCCCAATAAATTTTTATATTTACTATAATAATTCCCTGATTTGCCTTTTCCCTCCTCAGCCTTACTCCGTTTTATGTCTGCTTGAGTTGATGCCATCTGAGAAATGTCACTTCAGAAGCATCACATTTCAATATTCAGGTTTCTTGCCAAAGGAAATTTGATTAATTTTTTACATATTTCCCAATAATTTATAACACTGAGTTTGGTTGAATTTGTAGTGTCAATGAAGGTCCTATGAGGAAATCACAAAAATTAAATAAGCCCAAATTTAACTGAATCTAGTAATAATAATATATAGCTACATATATAGTATTGTGCAGTGGGTCACTGAATGTTTTACTGGAGCCAGAATCGCTGGGCTAGAATGTCCTCAAGCAGCTGGTTTGCTGAAGTGGGACAGTTTATGGTTAGGATATTTTGAACAAACTAACATTTGGATGACTACTTTTTAACATTAGAATATTTATCCTGTAATAAATAGTTTCTCAAACTCAGCACAAAGAATGTTTGCATTTAGAAAAGGAAGACAGTTCTGGAATGCAAATAGGGCTGATTAACCAGCTTTCATTTAAATTTAGATTTGTGATCACCTCAAACCCAAACCCAGTCACACTGGGTCAGGTTTAATAGCCAGCTGTGGAATATCATTTCTGTTTCCTAGAAATCCTGTGAAATGGATGTGAGTTCATCTCAGAATTCTGGGTTACCTTCATTTGACTGTTTACTCAACAAATACTTGAGCACTTACCGTGTACCAGTCAGAGCTAGAGGCTAGATATCTGTTTGTAAATGAACCAGGTATAGTCTCTTTGTGGAGATTGCGATGTAGGATATCTGGGTTCTGTGGGACTCGAGGAACTTCCCATACCTCTCTTCATTCATTCTCCTAGGGAGGCAAACACCCACATTGAAGGTAGGGGAATGTACCCCCGAATAAAGTTGGCTGGCTTAGATATTGGCAGACATTTTTGAGAAGTGATAGCCTAGCATTTATCTTTTTTGTTTTATTGCTTTTGGTTTTTTTGCATTTATTTTGATATTGACCCGTAATGGTGGACTGTCTTTAGGTGCTCTGTGACCAAGTAAGTGGACAGGATGCCCATGGTTCATGGCCTTGCAGGAACTTTCCTGAATATTCTAGTTCAGTAATTTCCTAGAGTAGAGCCTATTGAAATCTCAGGAAGGTGGAAGTAGGTGGGGATGGATGGAAGGGCACTGTGCAGGAGTTTTTTTAAAAACATATTTAGGTTAAAGGGATGTTATATCTGTAAAACAAACAAGCAAATAAATTAAACTATAAGAAACAAAGCTTGGCAACATCTTCTTGTTTTAAGGTAATACTGAGAATACTTTTAAGGCTGTGATGAAGGGTTCCTTAGGTGGGGGTTGTGTATCAGAAGGAGAGGAGGGCGCACTCTAGATTTTTGTGTTAGTAGGAGAAAGACATGCGTTGAGAAAGGAAATGAAAATTAAAAATGAACGCCCACGCAGAGGTTGATAAATATTGTCCTGGTAGTCGGTGGCCCCTAGAGAAGGATTCATTTTCTACTCACTTGAACAAGCCACTGCTCCAGTAAATAGCCATTAGTGGTATGAGGTCTGGTAATGAACACATTACTTAAAACCTTCACCATCTGTCCCACTTTAATCAGGAATGCAGTGAGAATGAATTCCATAAACACAGTGATAAGCCAGCAAAAACGCCAATAAGTGCATTTTAATACAGCGTATGTTCCTTTTGCTAGCAGTGCAGTTCTGTTGCATCATATTTGTTTTCCGGTGTCATTGATTTAGCTCTATTAGAATTTTAGAGCTCAGAGGTGCTTTTGAGACCACCTAGTTCCTCGTTCACCATTTTATAAATAAGGGCAGTGGGAACAAGGAACGATTCCACTGTCCTCCAGTTACCAGTTCAAAATGCTTTCCATTATGCCCTGATCTTCTCTGGTGTCAGATAAAAATGATATACTTGGTTCCTAAATCATTTAGATGTTAACATATGGCAATTATTTAAATTGGTGTCTTCTCCACTTTGATCAGTAGGGCGAGGGAGCTCTTGAGCTCCCCAGTGCAGCAGTTTTGGGAAGAGTGCATTGCCCACTGGGTGGTGCTGTGAACTCCTTTCCTTTTCCACAAGACACTGTCCCTGAGAAAAAGGGCTGGCCAGTATGGTGTGATTTTCCATGTTGTCAGAGAGGAAGCATTGAGAGCCCAGGCTCCATGCTGGAACCTTGGCCAGGGCAGAATGTTTACTTGTCCAGTTGTCCAGTCTGCTTGAACCCTGGTTATGAAGATCCATTAATGGAGAGTAAGCCCATTAAGAAGAATGTTAAACACCATTTTCCTCCCTACAAAGTCAAAATATATTATCAGTGTTGTGTTTCTTTGATGATCCAAGTATCAGAATAAGCTTACAAGGCATACCTGTGATCCCTCAAAAATAAGTTGAACACAGCTAGGGAACACAAGGGAAATTCCTATATGTGACAAGAATGCTACAGGAAAAAAATTGAAAAAATTAATATAAACTTAAAAAGTAATAGCGCCTAAGATAGGGAGTGTTTGGCGCCTTCAAATTATTATAAATCAAGGTCCTAATATGTACGAGAGAAGCATGTGGGCCTTTCACATATGATATCTCCAACCATCCCAACGTTTCAATATAGGTAGTATTATCCCCATTTTAGGGATGTTCGGAAAGTCATGACTTAAAAAACCACGACTTAAACAAATATAGAATGAATACGTGTCTGATATTTTACTCAACTCATTCATTAATAAGGGAAGCAGTAAGATGGTAAAGCTGGTTTAAATAGATTTTGAGAAACTGGGTATTTATAGGCATTTTGAAAAAAGGAATATAGGATCGGATTACTAGATTAGATACAAAGCTGGTTAATATTTTTGAAGACCATCAAACCATAACCTGAGGGATTATCTTTTCTACCAGGCAGAAATCTGCACATGAACATGCAACTTCACAGAGTCAGGGCTCTAATCAAATCATAAACAATAGAGTCAAACACAGAGAAATTCTCCATGAGAATTGCTTATTCAACAATGACCCAATATGACATTAAAATCATATATGGTTTTGTTTTCCAAGTTTTGGCTAATTTTTCTTAAAAAACATGTTACAGTCACAGTTTTAAAACTAGGTCAGTCCATGTCCAAAGAGATTCCCACTGCATTTTGTATTTTACCCATATGAGTACTGCAGCAGGAATAGTTTTATTTTTTTTTTTAAGATTTATTTATTTCTTTGAGAGAGAGCAAGCATGAGTGTGGGGGGGGGGAGGGTCAGAACAAGAAGCAGACTCCCTGCTGAGCAGGGAGCCCAATTCGGGACTTGATCCTGGGACTCCAGGATCATGACCTGAGCCGAAGGCAGTTGCTTAACCAACTGAGCCACCCAGGCGCCCTGGAATGGTTTTAAACAGCCCTGTAAACAGTGTCAAAACATCAAATATTCTTACCATCGAATATTAAAAAACAAAACAAAACAAAAAAAAACAACCCACAATCATCCCAACTTGGTTTTCGTGGACTTGTTATTTATTTTTTTTGAATGGAAAGAATTTAATAATGACATTCAGGTATTTCTTTATATTTTCTTTCTCCATATCAAAATTTCTCTTGTATTGTAACTAGGAAGTGACTTTATTGCCTGTGGCCTTGATCCTTCACTAAAAAGGCATTTACTACTTTGCTACTTTCTGACAGATGCCATGTGAGCAGGTAGGGGTATAAGGTCAATAGGGTCTTTGGATACCTGCGACTCGGTCTAATGTAGGAGAAGCAGGTGGGATGGAGGAGAGCCAATGCCTAGAGAGATGAGCTGCCAGTTTGTATTCGGGGTGGGATGGAGAGAGGCAGGAGTTAGACTGAGCACGGTATACTTCAGTAGGTGGCTGGAGGAGGAGCAAAACCTCTCCAGGCAAGTGAGGGGAGTGAAGACAACTAGTCTGGACCTGTGCCTGAGCTACTTGGAAACCACACAGGAGAATGCCTGGCCAGGCCTCATTGGGGTGGGTTGTAACAGCACCATCTGAAATGAGCTCTTTAGCCTAAAAGGTATTTTCTAATATTATAAGAAGTGTCTTTTGCAAACAGTTTGCAAGAGTGACTTAGCAAACACATGCACACATGCACAGAAATAAATAAAATTGTATTTTATTTTCTTCTAGGAAAAGAAAACACTGCTAGAAAAAAAACTGTCTTTGGAAAACAAGCTGCTGCAACTCAAATCCAATGCTACATATGCTAAAAGGTTTGCAAATCTCCCTCCTTACTAAAGCAGTTTCTGATACCTTTCCTCTCCGATGGTCCACTGGCCAACGGACAGAAGGCTAGCACCCTCCAAGGAGACAGGAAGGTTGAAAGGGCAGGACAAAGGGAGATTACTTAATATTAACAGTCACATACCTCCCCTCCCTCCCACTGGGGAGAGTTCCCTGGAGGTACTGGGAAACTGGGGCAGGGTTAATCCTCCTGAAGAATGAATGAGCCTGTCCATTCCCTGTTGACCCTGGGTGCTAAAGAGGATGCTTCATTCCCCCTGATGCTTCTGATTTTGTTAAAGGGTCTCTGCTATAACATGCATCAAATTGGCTAGCCCACAAGTGGAACTGTAAGATCCTTTTATGGTGCTCCCCAACTTTGTAGAGAATGAAGGAACTACTCTGAATGCATTCTTAGTTCTTTGGACTTACTTACGAATACTCACAATTCACAAGCTGTTAACAGGTCTGAGTACAGGGGTGGCGTGGATCATGGTTATCACCCAACTGCTGCATTACTTCGCTGGTTTCAGAAAAATTCTCTCAACATCATGTAATAACTTATAACGTATAAAATTTCCTCACTTTTGTCCCCCTTCCCTTCTCTTCTCTTTTAATTCTAAACCTGCCACTGTCATTATAGGTTCTGATATAATGTTCCAAGTCAAGCCTATTTTGAGGTCTTCTTTTATCCATCTGCAACTATTGCTTCTTAGGATATCAAGCACTATGATGAGCCTCAGAATGTACAAATTCTTATTCTCATTTATCCAGTAATATATACTCAAACATCCCTCTCTCTTGGTCTTTGATTTTTTTTTCTGTTTCTCTTTCCTTTCCAATTATCTTTCTTTCTCTTCTCATCTCTCAAAAGCTTATGCCTTCCGTCTGGCTCATAGTCATGTATTGAACCACATACGCCAAAGTCCAGACCTGGTCTGACCCTAGCAATTGCACTTACATATTCAGAACACACTGCAACACCACTGATATTAATTTACCCATATTCCTCTTTGTGAACAAGCATGTAGCCCCAGTAGGGAGCTTTCTAAGAGAGTGCAGGATAGCACTGCTCATCTCTGTCGGAAATGAAGAAGTACTGTGGAAGACGTTCATAGGTCTTCAGAATTACTTGCATATACTCATAACTTAACTCTTAAGTTAATCTGTGGGTTATGTTGGGTTTTTTTTTTTTTTTTTTTTTAAAGATTTTATTTGAGAGAGAGAATGAGATAGAGAGAGAGAGCATGAGACAGGGGAGGGTCAGAGGGAGAAGCAGACTCCCTGCTG